TTACAACCACTAGGTTGGATATATGCTTCATTGTGAATACATTGAGTCGGTTTATGAAGTCCCTCGTAAGCCACATTTAGATGCTGCACTTTGACTATTATGATATTTAAAGAAAAGCACAAGACAAGGCATACTCTTCTCTTCTGCAACCTTTCTTCAGTTTAACAGCTTTTTTTTTTACTCGGATTAGACTAGTTGCATTTCCACTCATCAATCCACATTTGGGTTTTGTCATTGCAACAAACTAGTAAATCCCCTTTAGTCTAAGTCTTCTCTTCAGACAAACCTACAAAGCCCCGACGTTGATCCTCAGGGTAAACACTCCGATGCTTAAGTCAGCAATAATTTAGTTTACTCTTAAAAAGATGGAAAAGAAGTTTTAGGTCGGTTTCAATTACCTTTTGGAAGTGACCCCAGAGAGTATTTATAGGCCTTAATGAGGTATTCACGTGACTTGTTTAACGAGATAATCGAAATCTGATGTGTCCAATAGGGTAATAATCTCGGGAACAAAGGATTGAGTGAAGGCATGCTTACTATAATTATTGCGCAACTAGGAAGAACTCCATTTAAACCTTATCTCGATTATTAAATAACCGAGCTCAACAAATTGGGGAGAGGGGTTGAGCTTAATGAATACACAGTACGTCCAAGATCAATGATCTCGAACCTACCCTTACAAGTTCTTAATTCTCCTTGGTGAGAGCCTTGTTTCGTGGAAAAGTAAGAAATAGAATACTGTTTCTTTTTCATCCGTAGAGGTAGAGTATCGTGTAATGGCAACTACAACTAAGGAAATTATATGGTTGTGTACTCTACTGCAAAGTTTTGGTGTTTTTTTCTCTCGGTCCACTCCATTCTATTGTGACAATCAAGTCGCTAGACACATTGTTGCCAATCTTGTATTCGATGAGTGGATTAAACATCTCGAAATCAATTGCCATTTGGTCCGAGAAAAGTTGCTCAACGGTATCATTCATCCACTGCCCATTTCCTCCTCTCATCAACCGGCGGATGTCTTTACAAAGGCTTTGGGTTGACAACTTCCTTCTTTGCGGGACAAGCTCCGCATTTGTGGCCTTCATGCACCAACTTGAGGGGGAGTACAAGGAAATTAATATCAAATCCTGGATTATATTGTACACAATTTGTAATTAATTTTTTTTATAGACTTAAGTTTAGGCTTGATTTAATTTATCTTTTCATTTATATATATGTGTGTGTGTAAAAAAGTAAGTATTGGTTTGTATTAGTTTGTATTATGAAAAATTAGATGAAAAATATCTTAAAATTATGTTATTTTAATATAATCATATTAAAAAGACTAAATTATCCTAATTATTTTAAATGTGAGAATGAAGAAGTTTTGATTTTTTTATTGTAGTATTTCATTAAAGAAATAATTTTAAAATATTTTTTTACCTAATTTTTAACATGTTTAACTGATAAATATTAATCCAATATATATGTACCCATTCGCGTAGAGTAAATATAAGAGAAATCTTTATATTCATCAATTTACATAAAGACATTGTTAGCGATCCAAATTTGTTAACGATGTAAGCTCTCTGTTTTCGTTTGCCTGGGATCATGGGTCAGAATCGAATATTGTATAAATCTGCGGGAGGTCGGCTTTCCAATTGGACTATGAAGCAACGGGGATTCGGCAGGCAAAGGTGCAACCATATGGTACGCAAAGAAAGGAAGATTTTAATTGTTTGGAAAAGCAGGGCAAGGAAAATTCCTCGATGGGTTGTTGGAGTAAATAAAAACTCCATCAGTGGCAGAAGTTGAAAATTGGCAAAATGTAAATTGTTTACAATCTACACTGAAATTTCCATGAATCTGCAGCTAATTTTTTTTTTATTTACATTAGATATTAAATTATATAACATATAGTAATTTTTTTATTATTTTTTCCATTCATTTTATAATTTAAACATTATATTTGTAACGTGTAACACAAGTTCAACTTTTTGACTGCTGAAATGTTAGGTACAGCTGCAGCTGGATAGGGCTGGTTAAGTCATGTGTTAATACTGACGGTAAAAATTTATTAAAAACCTTTATGTTATTAAATTTGAAATTTTTAGCCCCTCTCACCTTATAACTTAAAAATCGAGACCCCAAGCTTATCAATTTAGTGAAGAAAGCCCAACTGACGGAAAATGGTGAAGGCCGTCTGAGGCTGTTACGTCTCTGTCACCTCGTTCTTAGTTGGCACCACGCAAGCGGTGCCTAGGCATTTGAAGTTGCCCCATGGCATTTCATTGCCACTTTGGACAAAATGATCGACTCCATTCATACAAATTAATCTTATATTATAAAAACTAGTAAAACATTGAAAATCTCAAAATGCATTTGTCATCGTTTCACTGCTAAGAAGACACCAAAGGGTAGGGTTGTAATTGAAATGAGCAGCTCGCGACTTGCTCGTCTTGAGCTTTGTTTGAGTTCAATTCATGGTTAAATAAGTTGAGGTTGATTAATGATTTATTGGTTTGAGAGAAAAAATTTAGCTCTCCTTAAATATGATTTAATTTTAAATTTTATAAATAAAAAAATAAATATTGATAAAGTTTTTTTTTTTTATTGAGTTTGATTTAACTTAACATTAAATTAATTAAAATTTAATGTAAATTTTAGATATTAAAAATTTAATAAAAAAGTAAGTTAAGGTTGAATTTGAGATCGGGGTTAGATAAAATATTGAGCACGAGTT